CCATGGGGAGGGGGTAGGGGGAGGGGTAAACCCTTCCCCGAAGGGGAAGAGAAGGAGGGGTGGAAGAGGAAACTCCCTAAACCACCGACGCCCAGAGGGCTGGTGGGATTTGTTTTGGTGGTGAGGTGGTGGTTGGGGTGGTGGTGGTGGTGGTGGTGGTGTGGTAGATTGTGGTGGTGGGTTGTGGTAGTTGGTTATTGTGGGTGTGGTGGTGGTGGTGGGTTGTTGTGGCGGTGGTGGTGGTGATGGTGGTGGCCGTGGTGGTGGTGGTTGAACGGTGGTTTGTGGTGGTGTTGGTGGTGGTGGTGAGTTGTGGTGGTGGTGGTAGTGGTGGTGGTGGTGGTGGTAGTGGTGGTGGTGGTGGTTGTGGTGGAGGCGTGGTGGTTCGTGGTAGTGGTGGCGGTGGTAGTGATGGGTTGTGGTGGTGCGTGGTGGGGGGTGGTGGTGGTGAAAGTGGTGGTGGTTGTGGTGGTGGTGGTGGTTGTGGTGATGGTGGTGTGGTGGTTTGTGGTGGTAATGGTGGGTTGTGGTGGTGGTTGTGGTGGTGGTGGTGGTGATGGTGGTGGTAGTGGTGTGGTGGTTTGTGGTTGTGGTGGTGGTCGTGATGGTTGTGGTGGGTTGTGGTGGGTTGTGGTGGTGGTGGCGTTTTTGTGGTGGTGGTGGTGGTGTATGGGTTTGTGGTGATGGTGGTGGTTGTGGTGGTGGTGGGTTGTGCTGGTTGTGGTGTAGTGGTTTGTGGTGGTGCTGTTGGTGGTGGTGAGGCCATAGTCTTCCCGCCACCGTGTTTTGGCGTTGGATCAGGTGGTGGTGGTGGTGGTGGTGGTGGTGGGCTGTGGTGGTGGTGGTGGTGGATGTAGCGGTGGTGGTGGTGGTGGTTGTGATTGGGTATTCGTTTTGAATAGACCACTGCTCGCGCGTCCTTCATCCATTCCTTCCTCCCGCCTCCTCCCTCCTCCTGCCCTCTCTTCGCCGTCCCTGGGGGGGCTCCTCTTGCCTTGTGTGTACCTCTTGCGTGTGCATCTTGTCTGCGGTACCGCGGGGTGTGCTGCGATCTGCGAAACTGACGCCAATTTCGAGGGCTGCGGGTGGGTCCAGCGAAGTGAGGCACCGCGCAGATCTGAGCGGTAGTTCGCCGTCTCTGGGGGGCTGCCATCTGCCAAACTGTCGCCACTTTCGAGGGCTGCTGGTGGGTCCAGCGCAGTGAGGCACCGAGCGGTAGCTCGCCGTCCCTGGGGGGCTGCGATTTGCCAAATTGTCGCCACTTTCGAGGGCTGCTGGTGGCTCCAGCGAAGTGAGGCACCGCGCAGATCTGAGCGGTAGCTCGCCGTCCTTGATGGGCTGTTGTCTGCGAAACCGTCACCGTTTTCGAGGGCTGCTGGTGGGTCCAGCGGAGTGAGGCACCGCGCAGATCTGAGCGGTTAGCTCGCCGTCCCTGGGGGGATCTGCGAAACTGTCGCCACTTTCGAGGGCTGCTGGTGGGTCCAGCGGAGTGAGGCGTCGCGCAGATCTGAGCGGTAGCTCGCCGTTCCTGGGGGGCTGCGATCTGCTAAATTGTCGCCATGTTCGAAGGTTGCTGGTGGGTCCAGCGGAGTGAGGCACCGCGCGGATCTGAGCGGTAGCTCGCCGTCCCTGGGGGGATGCGATCCGCGAAACTGTCGCCACTTTCGAGGGCTGCTGGTGGGTACAGCGGAGTGGGGCACCGCGCAGAGCTGAGCGGTAGCTCGCCGTCCTTGGGGGGGGGCGCTGCGATTTGCGAAATTGTCGCCACTTTCGAGGGCTGTCGGTGGGTCCAGCGAAGTGAGGCACCGCGCGGATCTGAGCGGTAGCTCGCCGTCTCTAGGGGGATCTGCGAAACTGTCGCCACTTTCGAGGGCTGCTGGAGGGGCCAGCGAAGTGAGGCACCGCGCAGATCTGAGCGGTAGCTCGCCGTCTCTGGGGGGATCTCCGAAACTGTCGCCACTTTCGAGGGCTGCTGGTGGGTCCAGCGCAGTGAGGCACCGCGCAGATCTGAGCGGTAGCTCGACGTCCCTGGGGGGCTGCGATTTGCCAAATTGTCGCCACTTCCGAGGGCTGCTGGTGGGCACAGCGGGGTGAGGCACCGCGCAGATCTGAGCGGTAGCTCGCCGTCCCTGGGGGGATGCGATCCGCGAAACTGTCGCCACTTTCGAGGGCTGCTGGTGGGTCCAGCGGAGTGAGGCACCGCGCAGATCTGAGCGGTAGCTCGCCGTCCCTGGGGGGTTGCGATCTGCGAAACTGTCGCCACTTTCGAGAGTTAATGGTGGGTCCAGCGGAGTGAGGCACCGCGCAGATCTGAGCGGTAGCTCGCCGTCCCTGGGGGTGTGCGATCTTCGAAATTGTCGCCACGTTCGAGGGCTGCTGGTGGCTCCAGCGAAGTGAGGCACCGCGCAGATCTGAGCGGTAGCTCGCCGTCCCTGGGTGGCTGCGATCTTCGAAACTGTCGCCACTTTCGAGAGCTGCTGGTGGGTCCAGCGGAGTGAGGCACCGCGCAGATCTGAGTGGTAGCTCGCCGTCCTTGGGGGGCTGCGAGCCTCACGAATGCCGCTCGCAGAAGTAGATGCGCCCATGTGACGTCATCACCTCCGTATAACGTCTCCCAAGCCACTCACGCCCCGCATTGCGCAGGGTTTGGGTACGTCGCCAGGGTAATTTAGTGGTTTCCCCTCTGCGGTTTCTGGGCCCTCTCTGGTCGTCGTCGCTGCGTTCCCGCCGTCGGCGCTGCTGGCCGCCGCCAGCGCCGGCGCGGTGCCGAACGGGGGGTGTTGGACCCCCCCGCCCCCTGGGCCTTCTCTGGTCATCATCGCTGCGTCTGCCGTCGGCGCTGCTGGCCGCCGCCAGGGCTGGCGCCAGGGAGGGGGGCGTGGGGGGGTTGAAATCCCCCCCCGGGAGGGTGAGGTGGGGGGGGGGGGCTTGGTGAGGAGGGAGGGGGGTTAGGGGGGTGGGGGGGCCCACCTCCCGCTTCGAAACGCGCCGCCGAATGTTCCCAAGGCGAGCGCCCGTGAAACGCCTTCCCTCGACCGTCTCGATGAGCTCTCGGGCAGTAGAAAAGAATGAGGGGCGTCGTTTATATTGGGAGGTGGCCACTAGAAGCCACTGGAAGCGTGCCAGACGGCTGACATGCATTCTACGTGACACGCCCCACCTTGCCGTCGGCACAGTGGCGGCCTTTATTGCCAGAACATTGGCATTGGGCATACGACAGAGACGCTGGCACTTGGAAACCCGACGTGGGCAGGCACGGGCAATGTTTCTTATTTTTGTTCGGCATCATTTCCGATAGTGTAAGGTGCTTCTGGTAGATTCAGGCATTCCCACTGACACTTCCAGGACACAAGATTTATATTCAGGTGGATTTATCATGGCCCTCTTCTGTGCTCATTACCACGACTTCACCAATCCATACATTGACAGATAAAATGTATTGCGGCTCGTATTGTTTTTTTGCTCACCTCTCCGTCCTGATCCCTTCGCTCCACGGCCGTAATTTAGAATCGGCGTGGGGGCGCCCGTGGCAGACTACCAAAGGCGATCCGCCGAGGTCCCCAGCAACACCTCTCAGTCGCTCTGCGGGATACGTTCTTAGGTGCTCAGCCAAAGCTCTCTTTGTGAGAGCTTCAATATGGCGACGAGGTCGTAGCAACTATGACATGAATGGGCAGATGCCCTGCCCATTCGTGAGCGACTTCTGGCCACCGCAGCCCACTTGTTCAGCCTTCTGGCCAGGGCAGGCCCGAATTACAGCCGCTAAACCCAACTGGTGTTTGCCTGAGGGGCCCGACGTGTTTTAGGTAAGAGGACTGGTGGAACAGCACGCAGTGCTTGCGACACGCAGATCCGCATAACAGGTGTTACATTAGCTCTGTCATGGCACTGTACTGTTGTAATATGCAATGATGTCCCCCGTTTTCTGATTTGACATGTTATGTTGGTTTCATACACACGTCCCTCCTAGCGTGTTGTATTACAGCGCGAGGATAGAACGTAGCGGTATGGCATGCGATGGTAGCGGCACGCCATGATCTGCAACGATGTGCCATGTTGGGGAATGGCATAATCTACCATATCCATAGGGTGTTGTGTGATGACAATTGTAAATGTTGCATGCGTTGTTTCACGATGCGATGCTCTGAGGAAGCTATGATGTGATAGTGAATGGTATATAAGATCTGGCGCATGTCCGCCAGATGGGAGGAATTTCTAGTCAGAGTCGCTACCAAAGCATTCAGATTATCTCGTGGGAAGTTATTAAACAGAGCCACGGTCGGCGCACATTTGAAAATCCTCAGATGGTTGCAAAAACTCCTTGGGAAGCCGCGAGAAGCATAGCTTTATGAAAGATTTGCTGAAGGTGAGGCTCTCAGAAGTCCTCGCCCCCTGTATGCACCCCGCTCCTGCACTTCGTCCTCAGTGTAAGGTTAAGGAAGCAGGTCAACGGTGGTCCCTTGCAACAGGCATGCTCAACTAGCGAACCGACAGCATGCGTCGGGCGAACTAGCGAGCCAGTTCGGCACTGCAAGTTTTTCCGGCGATTCTGCGGAGCTTCGGCTGAAACAAGCAGCGTGATGCCACAGTCCACATGTAATCAACGTCTTCAGACACGACCGACTTTTGTCGAAGTACCAGCTCTGCAATTGTTGAGCCGCTGTGATGCGTCCGCACCAAACGTTTTCGGACGTCGCTCGTTCTCATCCACATTGTGTGAGTCCACGCTTCGCTCAAGCCTGACCACGTTGCAGGGGTTTCGTTTGCTGCGTCTTGCTCCCGCTCTTCCTCTGCATTTTGCGGCCATTTCAGGTGTCCGGTTGGTAGTTCATGCCCTTGTCGATCGCAGTATCATCACCATGGCGCTGAGCGCTACGTCTGCACACATCATGCCACGCATATGGAACGGTATGACCGTTTTGGTTCGGTAACCTGTTGATTTACGGGGGTGGCTATTGTTGACTCAACTTCGTCAGAATGTCACTGGGGAGCCTTTGAAGGTTGCTGCGGTATGACGTGCCCGCTTACCAGAGGCTGACATGCCGCAGCGCCGTGGGCTCGTTGGTCGCCGATCTGCTTATGGGGAGGGGAGCGCCATCATTGTCCCGCAATGTGGAAGTCGGACAGCTGGCGGCGTCATTTTTGCAATAAGTGTTGAGTGAATGTTTAGGGACCTCTTCCGTATGGGCGTTCTCTCTTTGTGGTTGTTTGATTGTGTAATGTCGCATAGTTTCAGTGTACACGGGCGGAAGTTCGAGTGAAATGTACGGTGTGTCGTTGAATTGTTTTTACCTAACAGCGTTTGCTGATAGGCTTCTAGTAGGGTCAAAAGAGAGCATCATGACTCCTCAGGGGGGTCTGGGCGGGTGCCGGGGAGGAGAACCGGGAATCGTTTTTCGCCACAGTCACACACTTCGTGCTCTTCGACCTCCCAGAACTCCACTCCCGGGCCACATTCTGGAGAACCGGGAACCGAGCCGGGCTCGCTTTTCGCCAACAGTCACACACTTCGTGCTCTTCGACCTCCCAGAACTCCATTCCCGGGCCACATTCTGAATGCCCGGAGCCAACTGTGGGCCACTTCGTGCTCTTCGAGTTCCCAGAACTCCATTCCTGGGCCACATTTTGGATGCCCGGAGCCAACTGTAGGCCACTTCGTGCTCTTCGACTTCCCAGAACTCCATTCCCGGGCCACATTTTGGATGCCCGGAGCCAACTGTAGGCCACTTCGTGCTCTTCAAGTTCCCAGAACTCCATTCCTGGGCCACATTTTGAATGCCCGGAGCCAACTGTAGGCCACTTCGTGTTCTTCTAGTTCCCAGAACTCCATTCCTGGGCCACATTTTGAATGTTGAGGCAGGCTGATGCTGCGACCGAGGCAGGCTGAGGCTGAGGCAGGCTGAGGCTGAGGCCGAGGCTGAAGGCAGACTGAGGCTGAGGCTGAAGCAGACTGAGGCTGAGGCTGAGGCAGGCTGAGGCTGAGGCTGAGGCAGGCTGATGCTGAGGCAGGCTGAGGCTGAGGCTGAGGCTGATGCAGGCTGAGGCTGAGGCAGGCTGAGGCTGAGGCCGAGGCTGAAGGCAGACTGAGGCTGAGGCTGAAGCAGGCTGAGGCTGAGGCTGAGGCAGGCTGAGGCTGAGGCTGAGGCAGGCTGAGGCTGAGGCAGGCTGAGGCTGAGGCTGTGACTGCGACTGCCGTTGCCGCTGCGACTGTCATCGCGAATGCGACTACGACTGCGAGAACAGCAGAATTCTACAACTGGATTTTCATCTGAATCTTAAGGGGAATGCTTTCAGATATGCTTCTACACATCGCTGTTAGGTTGCTTTGCTGGGATAGTTTATGTTGGGTTTCATGTTGTGGTCGTCCCCGTAAGTTCGTGACATTGGATGAGTGGTCCCCTTCGACGCTAAAAGTGGTTCTCCACCCATTGCGTTCCTTCCGTTATCACCCATGTCCGAATGCCACCCGTTCATTATCAATCCAGCCAGGTGTAGATATGGTGGGTTTCTTTATTTATCCAAACACGCATGGTATTTTGCGCCTTGCTATGCAATGCCCTTGCTTGCACGTTGTTTTCGTTCAGGTTCTCTAAAAGGCATGTTTTGTTTCAGTCACTGTTTACACTGGGCATCTCACTTGTTTACCTTCGTATTGCCAAATGTGGGACGAGGGCAGTGTGGTCGAGCTCATTTTGGCGGTGCCAGAGCGCACATGGCTTGTCAAAGAAAGCAGGTGGCACCAGAAGCTTTACTATGCACAACAGAGCTTGGCACCTCGGCGCTGGTTGGTGAAAACCTGTCCTGAATTCACGTCCAGGCACCTGATCGTTTGTATCAGCGTCGCAGCGCACCCGTGTACCACACATGGCCTCGCGCATTGTATTTACCGTTTGGCAGCGCTGGCGTGTACAGCATCTTGCTTGAATGCGTCATCAGGGTTGCTTCAGCCTCTGTTGTACATGTGCGTTTCCATGCAAGGCTGTGGTTGTATGGCTTGTTGGTCAGACGGTCACGCATGGCGAGTCCTGTTACCGCATTGAATGTTACTCTCTGCTGCCGGCTTTCTGCGTACGTCGCCATAGGCGATACGCCGACGCAGATCACACATGTCCTTGGTGATCGCGTAGTATGGCTCATGGATTGGTAACCCGCCGTCAGCTGTGTATACATAGTTCAGTTATTTGTGAACGCGTTGTTGCAAACATTGCGTCGTAAGGCTCACGCTCGCAATCATAGCTTCGCAGTCGTAAGAAAGACCGAAAATCGCAGAGCGAATGCCGGGTTTCCGTAAACGATCGAGGTACCATGCGTCGTAGAGGTAGCATCACGTTCGGTAATTGGTCAAGGCACGTGTTACAAACGCCGTCCGCAAAGACCAGTGTACCCACAATCGGTACGTGCACGGCCGTAAAAATAAGATTAGCCCAGTGCGACCCTACCTAGGAGTTGGATCCTTTAGGAAAGCAACATTGGTAGAAGAGGAAAACGCCGTCCTCCTCCTCCTCATCGTCGTAGTTGTAGCAGTAGCGGTAGTAGTACTACTAGTAGTAGTAGTAGTAGTAGTAGTAGTAGTAGTAGTAGTAGTAGTAGTAGTAGTAGTAGTAGTAGCAGTAGTGGTAGTGGTAGTGGTAGTGGTAGTGGTAGTAGCAGTCGTAGTAGTAGTCGTAGTAGTCGCAGTAGTAGTCGTAGTAGTCGTAGTAGTGGTAGTAGTAGTAGTAGTAGTAGTAGTAGTAGTAGTAGTAGTAGTAGTAGTAGTAGTAGTAGTAGTAGTAGTAGTAGTAGTAGTAGTAAGTAGTAGTAGTAGTAGTAGTAGTAGTAGTAGTAGTAGTAGTAGTAGTAGTAGTAGTAGTAGTAGTAGTAAGTAGTAGTAGTGTAGTAGTAGAAGTAGTAGTTGTTGTAGTATAGCAGCAGTAGTAGTAGTAGTAGTGGTGTAGTAGTAGTCGTAGTAGCAGCAGCAGTAGTAGTAGTAGTAGTAGTAGTAGTAGTAGTAGTAGTAGTAGTAGTAGTAGTAGTAGTAGTAGTAGTAGCGCCAGAACCGCCGACGCCACGCCGTAACTGAAGCAGCAGCAGAAGCAGGCAGCAAGTCACCGAGACAGCAGCAAAAGCAAGCAGGCACGGAGATGAGGGTGGGGCACTGGGGAGTTCTTTACATCTACATGTATATCTACACCTACATCAACATCGACTCCTACATCTACATCTAGACCTACATCTACACCTACAGCTACAGCTACATCTACATCTACACCTGCATCTACATCTACATCTACATCAACAGCGAGACTCACATCTACATCTACATCTACTTCTACACCTACACCTACACCTACATCTACATCTACATCTACATCCACACCTACGTCCACATCTACACCTACACCTACATGTACATCTACAACTACACTTTCGCATTGGTTCTGCTTTTGCTTTGCATTGCCTTTGCTTTGCTCTTGCCTTGGCTTTTTCCTTTGCCTTTGCTTTTGCTGTTGCTGTTGCTGTTGCTGTTGCTTTGCTTTTGTTTTTGCTTTTGCTTGGTTTTGTTTTTGCTTTGCACACTTACACGCATGTTTCTGCATTCGCTCACTGGGGTTGCTTGAGAATGCTCCGGATCCGGCCTACACCGCACGACTTGGCATTGAGCAAGGTTGTGCAACATTTGCTACACCGAACATTCTTACGAAACTGTACAGCAGCAGCAACTCCCAGATCGGTGCAACAGGCCGTTCAGCATTGTTTCGGCGGGCATCATCGGCGCTGGAATATGCGGTTTCACCAGAGCTGTGTGACCACAACCTCCCCGCTGTCGTGGAGTCGCCCGAGCCACTCTTGGCCCATAAGTACATATATATAAATAGCAGGAGCAATAGTGGATGCTGTGCTGCGCTATGCTATGCTATGTTCTGCTATGCTACGTTATGCTATGCTATGCTCTGCTGCGCAATGGTATGCTGGGCTAGGCTAGGTTAGGCTAGGCTATGATATGCTATGCTGCGCTATGCTATGCTGCGCTATGCTATGCTATGCTACGCTATGCTATGCTATGCTGTTGCTTTGCCTTCGCTTTTGCCTTCACTTTTGCCTTTGCGTTTGCTTTTATTTGGCACCCAGGGAGCGCAACTGGGGGAACCGCGCGTTTGCTTTTACCTTTGCTGTTGCTTGCGTTTGGTTCCCAGGGGGACTGGGGGAACCGCGCGGGGCGGTTTCCACTGCCTGGCCCCTCTAAGCCAACAGAGTAAGAACCCTTCTAGGCAGAGCCTAGGTAGGGAATAACACCAACACGGCATGTTGGTTTCGGTGCGCATGCATACCACCCACGTTTTACATAAAATTGGCGTGGGCAGAAAATGCCCCGCGCTAAATAAAGGCACGAGGTATGAGTGGAACCCATGGGATTCCATCGTGTGCAGCCCTATCGCGAAGGACACTGTCGTGTAAGATTTTATCGAGCCGGACCTTTCGCATGGAACACATCGCAAGCATATCGTTTTGCAACATATCGCGCGTGGGACCCTTTCGCAAGTGCGACCCTGTTGTGTGGGACCGTTCCTGTGGGACCTTCGCGTATGGGATCATATGTTGTGGGCCCGATCGGGTCGGACCCTGTCGTGTCGGACATTTCCGTGCTGGATGCTGTCGTGTTGGACCGCAGTGTACAGTGGTCACGGGGCCCCTACGCATGGTCTTAGATGTGACCGAAGTGTGTTCTTTAGTGCTGTTCCCGAGGGATGTTGAGGGGTGGCGGCATGGTTCCTCTGCCAATTTGGTGGGGGGTGGGATGTTTCTAGAATAAGTTTCGGCCCATCCCACCACCGTGCCTGGGTCGAAGATGCACATTATATGGTTTCTTGTGGAATGTTGGTGGCCTCTAGGGGAATCTTGGGAGCAGCTCGGCGGCCTCTCATGGGGTTGTTGGCGGTCTTCGTGATCATCTCGGGGCTGAGGGTTGAGATATAGGTTCGCGTTCCTCCTCTTGTGCCCCTCTTCGGGGCCGTCTTGAGGGCCTCTTGGGCCGTCCTGGGGCCTTCGTAGGCAGTCTTAGGGCCCTCTTTGGGGGGGATTGGGCCGCATCGGAGCGATGTTAGAGCCCATTGGGCGGTTTCGGAGCGTCGGCGGCTCGAACAGGCGAGAACGCTGAAATTTGTCGAACACGTCCATAGACAATATATGAGTCTGGCTACTTGGGGCGCTCTCGGGTGACCTGCTGAAGCCTTGAAGCGTGTTGGGGCGTATCGCGGGCCTCTTGGGCCGTCTCCGATCCATCGTGGGTTGTTTTTGCACCCTCCTGGGCCGTGTCTTATAAATTCTTGATAAAGTCTTGACGTTTCCCGCATTCCCGCCATATTGTACAGGATGGACACGGCCCCCTCCATGGTCCAGTTTCGTCGGATCCCAACCGCAATCACCGAGATCTACACGCTGCAATCACGAGATCAGGTCCCCCGCGACCTAATCGGGACCCCCCTGGACGTCATCAGTTACCCCCTCACCTTTCGCACGGCCGACAAAAAGGACAAGGCCCTGGCCAACAGCGTTCGCAACACAGCACAGTGTGGGCAAGCCCTACTCGCTCGCGCCACGGCCACCCTTGTGGCACGCTTCCCCGGCACCGACCTGCCCGGCCAGTCGCCGCCTCAGCGTTACCCACCCACCCCACAGGGCCTCTGGCCGCCACCCCCTTCCCCGACGCAGAGGTAGACGAAGCCATTGGACAGGTTTTTCAGCGTGCCAGGGACCTACCATCGCAGACGGCCCTCGAGGAAGGCGCCAATCGACACTGCCTCAACCGCGACGCCACAAGGGCCTTCACTGCCTCCACCCTACACCACGTAACAATCGTACACGGACCCCCCGGCACTGGCAAGACCATCTTCTCGGTTGCCACCATGGACATATGGTCTAACGCGCTCTCCCCTGGGCTGTCAGTCGCCCTGGCAGCAGGCTCCAACACGGCCGCAGATCAGCCCGCACTGGCCTTAATCGGTGCGCACAATGCCAACAAGTTGGGCCCCCTCTCAGGGTTCCCGGCCAGGTGCGTGCGTCTCGCCAAAGACTTCAAACTAGCCAAGGAGCTGGAGGGGCTCACCCCGGAGGACATTACCACACAGCCCACGGCAGGTTCCCATACGAAGGCGGATCACCTTCCAAAGATTTCCCCGCATTCTGGAGCCAACTGCTCAAGGATGCGAAGACAGTCATCGACGTACATGAATCTGCGGAAGCACTAAAGAAGGCCGCCCCGGTCGCCCTGCTCATCATAGATGAGGGAGGGCAGGCGCACGAGCTAATGGCTGCCATGTCCCTAGACAGCGTTATCCGCTCCGGTGGACACCTAGTGTTGGTGGGCGACCCCAAGCAGCTCCCCCCCACCGTCATCTCCAGGAAGGCAGCGGCTCAAGGGTTATGCCTCTCCATCTTCGACCGTCTCCACCAGGCCTTGGGGGAGGACCAGTCCGCCGTGGTTCAGCTCAGCCTCTGCTACCGTATGCACCCCCTGCTGCTGTCCTGGCCGAACTGGGTCTTCTACAATCACACAGTGCACACCGGCCTAATCGACCCTTTGTCGCAGAGACCTCTGATCGAGGGGCTTCCATGGCGAGATTTCCATCCCTGGAGCGACACCAGAGTCGTAGACTTAGCAAAGGCAGCGGGCACCACCAGCGACGACATGGAGCAGATGTTGCGCTGCCTCGAACCAGGAAACCAGCACAAAGAGGAGCGGCACCGCTTCCTACTGGTGGACAACCCTTCTTTGGAGGTCACATCGAGACTACACGCAGGATGCGCCAACCTACCGGAGGCAGCGCAGACGGTGGACATCGCACGGGCCCTCCTGCCTGCCATGCAAAAGGGGACCACAGTGCGGGCAGTCGTCGGCTACCAGCTGCAGTGCGCTATCCTGGAGAACGGATGACCCCAAGGCGCACGCTGCGTCAGCGGCGCCCTCAGGCAGTCCAAGACCAAAGGCAAAGGAAAAGGGAAAGACGGAACAACCCCGGGCAAGGACCCCACAACCCACCCCCCAGAGCGCTCCACCGACACAGGCGACCACGCCAGCGTCTGCGCACAGCGGAGCTCAGAGCTCACCGGCATCTCCTTGACGTTCCCCGGCTTGCGGCGCATCGCCGAAGAGCAGCTTGCGAGCGGCAA